TCCCAATTAAATATTTCCAAATAATCGAGTTTGGTAGTGAAATCGAGTGCGGACGTGTAAACAAAAACAACAAAAAAAAAAAAATAAACATACAATAAATAAATAAAGATAAAATCTTCAAAAGGATAAAATATCAAAATAATTTTGTCAGTTTTACCTCTAGTATAATATACCGATCGAAAGTCAAAATCTGACAAATGTGCGCGTTTGATTAACACCGAGCGATACGAAAAGTAACAAAATCCAAATGATAATGGCTGGCGATCGGATAACGCTAGTCCGATGTCACGGACTCGTCGAAATTGCTGGTACTTTCGTATAAACTGCCAGTTTATTTACCGAATGTGCAAGCTTAATCCAGCATGTAATTACGGCAACTAAGTGGATAACGAACCAAGAACCGTAACACTTAGTTATTGTAGTTGAACACGCGATATCACAAAATGGCCATTGCTTTGGCAACACCACTCACTCTCTTTCTCTCTCTCTCTCGCTCTCTCTCGCTCTCTCTGGCTCTGTCTTTCTCTACGATACTCTTCATTGGATCGTTCAGAGAATCGACCGATTTTTTTTGTTGGAAAAAAATAAAAAATTTTTTTCTCGATCGCTTGACATTTTTTATACTGTCTATATTTTGAAAGTTACATATACAGATGTATATATATATATATATATATATATACATATATATATATATATGTTCATATATTTGTATGTATATTTGATATCGTCAATTTCATTTCTTTTATTTATGACAATAATTATTCTTGTCATAAGTTGCACATATTATAAATTCTATTTCATATATACATTTTGTTGGACATCGAGAAAAAATTTGTTTACGGAATGAAACCTTGAAAGAAGTATTTTTTATTGTTTCGTAAAGTCTTTCGTTAAAAAAAAAAGAGAAACAAAATTAAAAAGGAATGCTATACATGATATAGAATAAATACGAGTAAATAAAAATAATAAAACAATTACATTATCATAATTCGTTCTATATTATTAATTAAAACTTAAGTTTTATTACTCGTTATACTTTATTATATAAACATATATATATATATATATATATACATTAAACAAACTTACTTTAGTTATGTTTATTCCTTATTTTCCTTATTTTTTTCCTTATTTTTTATATTTTATTCCTTATAGTTTATTCCTTATTTTTTTTATATTCCTTATTTTCTTTTCTGTTTCTTGATAAACACTTTGGGAACAAATATATAATACATATTAAGAAAAAAAAAAAAAAGAAGAAAAAAAAGAAAAGAAACAAACAAAAATGAAAATAATAAAAGAATTACGTTATTGTAATTCTATGCAATTTTTCTACAAAAAAAAAAAAAAAAAAAAAAAGAAAAAAAAGAAAAAAAAACCTGAATTACTATATATACATATATCATATGTATAGCTACGTTATAATAAACTACAAAAAAATATTTAATATCTGATCCTTCGACTGAGGTGTAAATTGAAAAGTTTAAAAAGATGTTCGTTAGTAAGAAAATGTTTTCCCGATAACGAGGGGAAATAATTTGAAGAAATTCTTACGGTATGACAGTAACGTAGCGAGACATTAACACCAACATTTTTCTTTTACTTTTCCCTGTGATATGATGAATTAAGAAAAAGTAAGAAAGGGGAAGAAAAGAAAAAGAGAAAGAATGAGAGAATGAGAGAGAGAGAGAGAGAGAGTGAGAGAGAGAGAGTAAGTGAGAGAAAGAGAGAGAGAGAGAGAGATAGAGGAGTCTCGTGTTCTGCTGCTGGCGTACACATTCATTTCCTTCCCATTTGTCGTAAAGCAGTAGTATCGGCTCGGCTTGGCTCGACTCTACTTGCAAGTTCTTAAAAAAGAGAACCTTACAGGAAATACGGCCTTAAGGCAGCTTTCAAAGTTATTAAAAACAATCCATTTACGTGGACTCCGCGGTATTTTTCATTCGTCTCTTCTTTGATGGCAAACGCGAAAATGGACTTTCTCGTCGTGTTTCATTCTTCTCGTACTCGACATCTTTCTTATTCTCTCTCTCTCTCTCTCTCTCTTTCTCTCTATTTCTTTATCTCTCTGCTCCCATTGGAGTCATTCTTTAGTCCGGGAGCTCGTTCCTTCAGCAAACTATGAATGTGAGATACTTGTGCTTTAATAATGAACGGTTTCTTAACGGCGAATACCTATGTATATATCTCGTGATCTTAAACGAATCCACACAAAATTATATATATATATATATATAGAAATTTTTTTTTTCCTTTTTTTTTTTTATTATTTTTTATTCTCTTTCCAAAAATCTTTCTCCTTAGAATTTTCTTCGTACGAGATGAGGAAGAGGAAGAGAAAGAGTAATCACTACGTATAGCCTTTTTTTCTCTCGTTCTTTTCTCTTCTTTCTCCCTAGCGATTTGTTTTTCTTTCAGTTAAAAAAAAAAAATTGAAAAGAGAGAGAGAGAGAGAGAGAGAGAGAACGTGATGATAAAAAAAAAAAGGAAAAAGTAAAATTAAAGATACGTCAACTACGTCTCGTTAAATATCTTTCTCTTTATTTCTCTCTTCTTATTTTCTCTTCTTTCTTTTTTTTGTTTTTTTTTTCTTTCCGTTTTTCCAAAGAATCCTCCGATGAAAATATGAATACACGCGAAGATCGACAATTATTTTCGAAAGCGACGTACATTAACTAACGACATTCTGATTCGTTAGCGTTATTCCCTTTCCATATCGACTTTCCGCGTTCGCAATAGCTTGCGCTAATTAAACATCGGATAAAATAACTAGTGCATGCCGAGAGAAGAAAGAGAGAGAGAGAGAGAGAGAGAGAGAGAATGAGAGAGAATTTTATGTACGTCGTACACTATAGTCATTATATTGGTATAGGTATGTTGTAGTTGTATAACACAAAACATGATCATGACGAGCGTCAACCTCACTAGTCTACTCCTATGTTTTCAAAGTCGTTGATGCTTGAAAGGAATCGTCGAGTCATCGAACGTCATTCCCTTTATATTACACGTCCCTTGTAATATATACTTCGAATCTGATAATTTAATACGACGTCAGAGGACAATGGGCTTTTGGAACACGACCTAGCCAATTAGCTCCATATATATTTACATATTGTATATATATATATATATATATATATATATATATATATATGTATATACTGTATATATGTTTAATAAAATTAATGTTATATTTTTTATTACGTATTAATGATAAATATTATATTGCTTCTATTAATTATACACATATATATAATTAATAAAATGAATAGATATTTTATTTATTATAAATATGTAATAAACAAATATTTTGTTGTGATTAACAGCTTTTAATTCGGAATGAAATTAACGCGACGAAAATGTTTAAAAAAAATTAGATTCCCTCTCTTAAACGAATTTACGATACGGTAAAAGAAATAATATTACGAGTATACGAATGAGTTTTTAATTTACGTCAAAAATTGAATTTCTCGTGGTTATAAATTTCATAAAGTATGAAAATCATTTGTAAATTACGTGTGTTATCGAATTATAACGAATTTGTTAAAAAAAAAAACAAAAAAAAAAAACAAAAAAACAAAAAAAAAAACAAAAAAACAAAAAGACAAAAAAAAACAAAAAAAAAAGAAGTAAACGGAAAAAATAGTATAGTAATACTTTTTCATTATTTTAGTCCTTCAATACTAAATTACTTCCGAAAATTTTTCAATCTCTATCAATTTTGAATATCTACCTTCGAATTCGTATTTTCAACAATTTAATTTTTTTTTTAACTCGTTATTCCTATTTCGTTTCATTTCGTTTTGTTTCGTTTTGTTTCGTCGTTTCGTGTATATCGTAACAAATCGATTACTTGTTAAAATTGAATTTGTTATGAAAATATAAAGTTTTGTAATAATTTAATTTTTGTACAATCGAACATCGAATTTATTTTAAACATAGTTATTTCACAAATATTCATTCAATGAGTAATTATTCGTTTAAAAACATTAATGATCACAAGATTAAAATCATTATTTCAATAATGCCATTATGATTTTTTCTAAAATAATATTTTCCTTTTCGATAATCAATTATCACAATTTTATTATTTATTCAAATAAAAAGAAAACAATCGTATGGGACGCAGGGGAGAATTTTTTAATTGCTTTTTTTTTTTAATTCGTTATTGCGTAATGATGATAGAAAAACAATATAACGATATGCATATATATGTATATATATATATATATATATATATATATATATATATACATAATCGACATAATCGATGTAAAGAATGTTTGACGTTTAAACTAAATATATTTCATAATATTGAGATTGTCGAATAGTAAATGACGTTTCAATCCAAATATAATCTCACTAAGTCAAATACATTATTCGATTCTTTCGTAATTTATCCATATATCTTTGTTTAATGCAAACAAAAATGTCAATCGTTATCCAATGCTAATAAAAAAAAGTACAAAAAAGAAAAAGAATGAAACAAATAGAATCTCTGTTTACACAAATAGTATAAACATTCATCATTCTCATAATATTTCTCATTGTATTTCTTTTCGAACGTATATAGAATTAATTCGAACGAAACAAATTTATTTATAAGTATGTATCTGTAATGAAATTATTGTGATCGTAGTTTAATAACAATTCGATTGATTGAAAAAATAAGAAAAAAAGAAACAAAAAAAATAAATAAATAAATAAAAGAGATAAATTATAGACTTCTTATAGACTCACATTGTCGAACATAACATGTGATTGTCGTCTGGATTATATTACTGATGTTAATTAATAGCCATTTTAATTGGATAATAATAAAGAATAGTACAATATATCTATATATAAATACACATTGTATATATATATATATATATATATATATATATATATATATATAACAAAGTATAGTATTAATATATTTAAAAGATGCTTAATAAATGAATTAAAAACGTTGAATAAGAATATAAAATGAAAATATATAATTGCGTTATTACATTTAAGCTTACGGCAGCAATGGGTGCTTATCTTCTCCGGCGGACGGTCACACGAGAACTGAAATGGAATACACGTCTCATTTCTTCATGTCCTTGTCGCTTTAATAATACATTTGTTTTGTTTTCGAATATTATGTCGTATTAAAAGCAGGAATATTTATATATCGATGAGCGACATTGACCTTCTGATGTTGTCATATCATTTCGTACTAGTCATTCGTACTACGTACATACATATGTTTCTAATCTCTCTCTCTCTCTCTCTCTCTCACTGAATAAATCAATTGTTAAATTATCATTTAAATATATAATATTCGTTAAATAATAATTTATATATTTATTATAACAATAATAATATTGAGAATATAATTATAAATTACACTTATTGTTAATATAATTTATTACAAATGTAAAGATGTAAGTTAAATTATATTTTTAATATAATATAACATGATTGTATTCAATATATCATATACGATATAATTAAATAAAATTCTAATTATAATACATTCAAATTCTAATCATTATAAATAAAAAATTTTATTATGATACAGTCAAATTTTAATCAATATACAATAGAAATTCTAAGACATAAATATAAAGTTTAATTTTGTTATACAAATGATTGTACTTCCTTATTAATTATAATATAATATAATTATACTGATATATAAGTTATACGATAACTTTCTACTTAGCATAATCTTTCATTTAATTCTCTCATCGAATATCAAATGAGTTATATTGAGTTAAGCATATATATATATGTATATATATTGAACAATAACCCAACACTCGTAGAGTTATAAGTATTCATTAAACATTCAATCCATGTCACGTTCTTACATTTCCAATGACGAGCAAATACTATAGTTATGTCTGTATGTATATATATATATATATATATATGTATGTATGTATGTATGTATGTATGTATGTATCTATGTAAATCTTTCCCGTATTCGAAAGCAGGTGAATGTAATCATAAGTAGTCGTTAGACTATTCATCGAAAACAAACAATAAAAAAAAATTGATAAAATAGTGTTGAAATTGTGGGTGGTTGAGGATGGGGGAGGTTACAGACATAGAAGGAATAGGTACACATTCTCCCTCTCTCTCTCTCTCTCTCTCTCTCTTTCTCTTTATCGTTCGTTCGCTCTCTTTTCCTCCTATATATAATCGTATTTGTATACATTTGGGGATAGGGTCGTGACCTAGAGAAGTGCCGTTGAACCGTGCCATCGCCGTAACGATGAAAAAAAGAAAAAAAGAAAAAAGAAAAAAAAGAAAAAAAAAGGAAAAAAAAAGAAACAAAAGAAAAAGAAAAAACATAAAAATAGAAATAAAAGTAAAAAAAAAATAAAAGTAAAAAAAAATACAAAAAAAAAAAAAATAAAAAATAACGAAAGAACAAATTGGACCGTTATTAATTGCGTAGACCAAGCGACGCGCGCTTTTAATTACTACTCTTTTAATTAAGGCCATAATTATGACCCGTCCTATGCTATGTCGTAGGTACCAGTGTCCTATCCATGTATTTCTGTAAATTCTCAAGCGTACTGATACGTGCATCTATGTATACATGTATGTATCTACGTATGTATATATATATATATATATATATATGTATCTTCCTTTCCCTTTTTAAACATATTCTATATCTCTATCTCTATCTCTATCTCTCTATTTCTCTATCTCTCTCTCTCTCTCTCTCTTTATACGTATCTTTCTATTTCTAATCTATCCTTCTTCTTCATTCTCTTTCTCTTTCAATTATATTTAACATATGCACTGTATGTATTTATTTATATACGTATATACCATTAGACTTTAGTCATTTGAAGTCGACCGACAGCGTAATCGTTTACGTGATGATGCTCTCTATAAGAAAATTAACGTTTAAATTCGTACGAAAGAAAAAAAAAAAAACAAAAAGTAATAAATAAGAAGAAAAAATAAATAAATGAATAAAAAAAAAAAAAAAGAAAAAAGAAAAAGAAAAGAAAAAACAAGGTAATATTTTATAATAAGTCAAGCGTTGAAATTATTTTAAATTTCATCGAGCTATTGTTCTATAATTTTAATATTGTCCGATTGTATTCCCTTCTATAATATAATCGGATATATATATATATATATATATATATATATATATATATATATATATACCTAGAACGTGCAAACAATCAAACAGGCCTCCTTTCATAATACGAATTCAATGGCAAGCTTTTGACGTCTAAGATGGTTATATGGTGTTCGAATTGAATGTTAATACTCATAAGCGTTGCCCTAATTGAAAGAAATTTGTCAAGTAGACGAAGACGTATTTCGTAAAAGTAACAAGTCGATGGAGAGTACCTTTTTAAACTTCTCCTTTCTCCCTTCTCTTTCTCTCTCCATTACTCTTGTCTTCTCTTCTCTCCTCACTTCACTTCACCGCACCTCATCATTCTATCCTTCTCCTTTCCTCCTTTACCAGCTTCTCTCTTTTCTTCGTTTTCTAAGACTTCCTATCTTATTTCCATTTAATTTTCATTCCCACGGGAACTTCGTTAATAATAACAAGAAAAAAGAAAAAGAGTAACGATAAAAATAGAGAGAGAAAGAAAGAAAGAGAGAGAGAGACAGAAAGAAAGAGAGAGAGAGAGAGAGAGAGAGAGACAGAGAAGGAAAAATAAGAAAAAGAAAAAATAGAAAATATAATGGCGAAAAAAGAAGAGATCGGTTGATGGAAAGATGGTAGGGTGCGATAGAATCTCTAGGTAAAGTTATAATTAATTACATATATATATATATATATATATACATATACACGTATACACACACATATGTATATATAGAGAGAGAGAAGAGAGATACATCGTGTCGCGTCCGAGCGTTTGTGTTCCACGCTTTTTAATTACGCACTCTGGACAAGAGAGTATATGGTAGAGGGTGGAAGATAGTTAGGGATAAAAGGGTGGTTCAGGGGTTGAAAAATAAAAAAAAAAAAGAAATGTTTCGAGAAATGTGAGAAAACGTAAACGCTCGAAAAAAGATTAAACGAGTTTTCTCTCGTATCTCTTCCGCTGCTAATTACTCCTACAAAGTTTATTTTACTTTACCAGATATCTCTCTCTCTCTCTCTCTCTCTCTCTCTCTCTCTGTGTCTCTCTCTCTCTCTCTCTCTCTTTATCTATCTACCTCTCCCGCATGCGCGCAAAAATGATCTTAAGTTTTTCCATTTCTTTCGCTTATCCTCCCACCCTTTCTTCACAATCCACTCCCACCCCATCCCCTTCCATTCTCTCTCTCTCTCTCTCTCTCTCTCTCTCTCACGATTGAATTATATTTTTTATGATAATCGTTTATCGAAAAAGTTACGTCTCTATATTGATAAATCGTGGTTCCTGTCAACTTTTGGAAAATATCAAGATTATTTGCTTTCGTTAGGGTGAATATTTTTATTTCCCTCTTTTATTTCTTTTCTTTTTATATTGAACTTAATGTTATTAAAATAAATGCAATTTCATCGGATAACCGTCGATATTTCCAATAACGTTTGGAGATGCAAGTAATAATTTAATTACTTTCCCTACGTAATTTCTCGATGATTTTCACGTTGCCATTCGTAATATTGAATTCTCGTGAATTCAACTTAAATCACCGATTGGGAGTTTAACGTTTTTAAAGATCAATACGATGATACATAAATTAAAGTTGAATAAACGTTATTTTTGTACGTTTATTTTAATTATTATTAATCGTTTGACTTAACGTTTTTACGATGAATCTCTTAATAAATGATAAAATTTGTCTTTGTTATAGGTCAATGATCTGTCATCCTTTATTATTTAATCTTATGATCGATTGTATGACATTTTTATTTCAATAAAAAGAACAAAAAAAAAAGAAAAAGAAAACAGAAAAATAAAAAATGAATGGATTTAAAGAAAATATTAATTTCATAGGATAAACAGTGTTATTTTGTTTATGAAAATAGAGAAAATATATAAGAGTACATAATTAATGATAGGAAAGGAAAGAAAAACGATTGGTCATAATATGAGAATTTATTTAAAATTGAAATCGAATATTAAAATTGTATAAAATTAAAATATCATTCATTTCTTTCCATTTTAAGATAATTTTAAAGATATAAGTTTAGATAGCATGAGTAAAAACCCATTAATATTTATTAAACTCAATGGATTGAATTCATTGTTAATTTAATTATGATATTTGAAATGAACAAACGAACGAGACAAACATTCTTCATTGTTATGCTAATTCGAGACATGCTATTTAAAAATACTTTTTCGAAATGAATTTTTAATTTTACAGTTTATAAATATCTCACATCAATGACGTTCTAATATTTCTAAATAAACGAAATTCAATTAATCATAAGATAATTCATTAATTTATTCTACGCATATGACGATACGTGAAAACAAATTTAACAATTAATTACAATTAATAACAATTAATACAAACAAATTTAATGGCGTTATAAAATCGATACTTTAATGTGACACGACGATCTCATGCGAACAAACATTCTCGTTTATTTGAATAATTTTAAATGTTGCTTAGTATTATTGCAGTCATTCCTTGTGAAAATATTATGGGATCACGTATAAAACATGAACTTCATGTCTCATGTTATCGTTATCATTATCCCAAATGTATATAAATATTGTATATACGTGTATATCCATTTTCTTATATAATATATTGAAAATAATAAAAAAGCAATTACGAATATGTACATAATACGTCGTAATCTATAAACATAAATCAAAATACTTATATAATTCGAAAGCATTCTCCGTGTGTACCTTCAACCCAGTACCTTTTGTACCTTAAACTAAGCAGTAAATACATATCCATTGTAGTACGCCAGGTATAACGCGGATTCCCTAGATGGTTCTTCCTTTATCGACTCAACAGAAATTACTTTGTAGTGAAATTTATTGTTTCGCGAGTTTCATTCGGTATTATGGTGAAATTCGAAGTATATACCATGGATAAGAGCGAATGAGTCTTTTATTCTTTTATTTATATATATATATATATATATATATATATATTTTTTTTTTTTATGATTGAGACGAAGTGAAAAAATCGATTTTGCTAGCAATCGGAGGCCTTGCGTTACTAAATT